AACCATCTCCTCAGCTCAGCTATTTCCTCAAAAAATGTTAACTGCTAATGGAAACATAAATGATGTGGTTCTGTAACTTTACGTCCATTTTTTTTAGATTTGGTTGGCACCATCTATTACTAAGCATTTGTTTGCATAAATGCTACATAAGTTTGGAATTCTCTATATTTCTTTTGTTAGTAAATCAAAAGTGATAGAAAGGACCTGTGTCAGCGGGAATGATTTGTGCACCTAGAATTAAGGGGATGCAGTGTCACTATTTTACTAATGTTTCAATAGCTTGTAAAGATGCATGCGTGTGTGTTTTTGTTCCCTTTCAGCATAACATCTTCTATTCTCTTTATGTTAAACAGCTCTAGTCTTTCTGGCTTATTTTTCCATTAAGACTTTTCATTTATTTCACCAGTAATGGGCTTCATCAAGTGTATTTTTCAATTCAATTACTTAATGGGCCTTTAAACTTCTCTTAGTCACTAAATTTAATCAAATTTGTGATTTCTTTGGTTTTTCCCCTTTCTCATTTGTTTGAGAGCATTACTAAGAATGTTGAGTCCACATATGCTTGCTGCCTTCATTTTAGAGTTCAGATTTCTCCCTATCTATCTACATACCTATCTATATATCTATATGTGAAATAACACTTCATCCAGGTAAAGATTATTTTTTCATTTTCTAAAATGTGGAAAGTTAATCTCTGTCTGGTTTAATTTTGTTCACTATTTTAACAGAGTGGCCTATGGTTTATAGGCACATTTTGAAAATATGTGCTACATAGAAATATACAAATATCATCTTTTACTTAGACAGACGTAGATTCAGAGTCAGGCTTGCACACGTAGCCCTTGGGCAAAATGTATAGTCATCTCCTCCCATCAATTAAAGGGAAGTAATTTCCATGTATAAAACAGGACTATGATGCTGAGAATTATGTTAAAGAAATACTACGTACCAGATGTCTACAGATAACTCCTGACATAGTACAAAGGGAAAATGTATTAATTCAGTCTTTCTTTGCCTTCATCTCACATCCGTAGCTACATTAATGTTATTTTGTGTCTATTTATTTTAGGAACATTATTACATTCCCTTAAGCAAGCCTAGCATAGTAGTGGACATTATTATCTCCATGATGGTGCCAGAAGGATAGAAACAGAGACAAAACCAGAGCAACACAGAAAAACTGTCTCAAAACAAAACAAACAAGCCAGCAGGCCTAGTAGTAGAGGCTTATAAGCATATGCTAAGGAACAGGATTAAGATGGAGGACTGCACGGACCACAGTGAGTTCAAGGCCAGCCTGTGTAACTTAGTCCTTTTACAACCCTTGTAGCCTGCATGAGGTCATCAATTCAATCCCCAGCACTCACACAAACAACAGCCACAACAATATAATCAAAACACCACCAGAAGCCGGGTACAGTGGCCCATACCATTAATCCCAGCACTCAGAAAGCAGAGGCAGGCAGATCTCTGTGAGTTTGAAGCCAGTCTGATTTACAGAGTTTCAGTATGGCCAGAGCTACAGAGATGGACCCTTTCTCAGAACACTACCATGAAAACACTTGCCTGAAGCAAAAGCAGCTTGGCAATATGGATCCAGAATTTGGGAAGATACTCAGTATCACAATGAGTCAGAGATGCAGTAACAATTCTATGCACAGAGACGTTCATTGCAAGGGTTCTTATACAGCTACAAGAAATTAGAAACTCTTAGGAGAAATTCACACAAATATTATAGTCATAAAAAAAAGTAGACAAAATAACTAAACAACTTAAATGTTTATATCAGGTTTTTAAGAAAAAAGCAGAAAATTACTTATTAATAAAACTGTAGGAAAACAAAAACAAAAACTCGTATTGGAAGGAAATACACCAAAGGGCTTATAGAAATCATTATATGGTCCTGAGATTGGTGGTTTTCTTAGTTTTCTAAAATAATCACCAACAATGAGAACAGTATTGATGTATGGAGCACTCACAACATGTAGGCCAGGTTAGAAGAGCATACTGTACTGACTCAGAAGATGCTCTCAGAACATAATCAGACAAAAACTCAAGCACTGTAACCTGCCTTTAGTTACGCTGAGAATTACAAAGAGCCTGGCTTCAAGTGTCTGCTCCTGACGTCCATACCACACAGGACAGCTCTATCTTTTTGTTTTTGGTTTTTGAGACAGGGTTTGTCCGTGTAGCTCTGAAGCCTGTCCTGGAACTCACTCTGTAGACCAAGCTAGTCTCAAACTCACAGAGATCCTTCTGCCTCTGCTTCCTAAGTGCTGGAATTAAAGGCGTGCACTACCACCACCTGGCGGGACAGCTCTATTTTATATCATGAAGTAAACCAATGGAAAGGCACCCGTCGGTTCCAATTGCATGGGTCTCCACAGCAGCAGCAACATTTCCTTTCCATGTGGAGCTCAAACAGTTCCACTGCCATTGTCCTTTGGAAATAAGATGTGGCCACCCTTCTGGTATGGAATTTATCTTAGAAAAATTCGAAGGCAGTCACATGTGGTGGAGTATGCTTAATCCCAGCACTCGGGATGGAAGGTGAGAACAGAGGTAGGTGGATCTCTATGGTTTGAGGCCAGCCTGGTCTACAAAGTGAGTTCTAGGACTGCCAATGTTGCACAGTGGGACCCTGTCTCAAAAGACAGACAAAAACACGTAACAAAACAAAAAATTCCAAGATAAATCTCCATCCTCATTTCCTGTTTCAATATTTCATTTGACCCCAGAGACGCATAAGAGCTTTATTACACTAACTGATAGGACTTCCAAGAACACTCTAGAAGTGCCAGAGCCAGCCAATCAAACTCACTTCTCCAACCTCTCTTCATGAACTCTACCTACTTCACCACAAACGGCCCCTTCTCACAACCACCTGTTCCACCTTGAATACATCTTCTCACCTGCCAAACCCTTACTAACACGAGCCCAGCAGGACCTCATCTTCCATGAAATTTCACTCACTCAAACCCCTCCCTTTCTGAAGGGGCATTGTCCTCTGTGAATGTGAAAACCTCTCAGTTGCTCACTCTAGTCCAGTTTTCTCCACCTTTGCAATGTAAGTCAGTATGGGGAGGGGTGAGAGGGACGGAGAGAGGAGGGGAGAGTCTTTCTGCTACTTTTTTGTTTGTTTGTTTGTTTTTGAGACAGGGCTCCTCTGTGCAGCCCCTGCTGTCCTGGAACTGGCTCTGTAGACCAGGCTATCCTAGAACTGAACAGTCCACCTGCCTCTGCCTTCTGAGTGCTGGGATTAAAGGTGAGCGCCACCACACCCTGTGTGCCACATTCTTCATACCTGGCAAAGAAACACAGTCCCCACGGCCCTGCACACCTGTCTTCTGTTTATACTGCTTTAATTTACTTCATGTGTAACTTGATTTGGTTTCCTTAAAACCTGATTTCTTTTCCTAAAAAAATGTTTGCAAAACCCAATATGGTTAACAAATACAAGAAATTCCTCTGAATAAAGATTGTTCACATCTCAACACAATTCATTCAGTAAAAAAAACTGAATGCACACAAGCACTTTAACATTATATAAGAGAAAAATCAGTCATGAAAACAACGAACATAACAAATATTGATAGTGAAAATTGTCACAGCAAGGATAACATTTTTTTACCCCAAAATGTATTCTACTCCTATTATGGAATGACAAAAGGCTTTTAGGGATGGAGACAGAAGTACAAAAAATATTTGTGATAGTCTTTCAGTGGGAGGAATTCAGTATCCTAACTGGGGTGACGATGGAGCACATGAAGGCTCATGGAAGGTGGAGGCCACTTTTCAGAAGAGGAAAATGAAACAGACCCCAATGGGTTTATATCGACTCAAGTAAAAACAGTACTGCCAAGCCACGATCCCCCCACACCCAAGTGTCAAAGATTTTCAAAGAAACCCGCACCTCTAAACTACTATTTTCTCTTGGCAGTTCCAAGTTTTCAGCCAGGTCAGCCATTCTCTCGAATAACTGGGACACAGGGTAAGGGAGCCGGTAGAAATCATAACCCTTCCCCAAAACCCAAATCCTCCACTACCTCATTAAGTATATTTTCTTATCACTCTTAAAGGAAAAAATTCGATAGGGAGACTTCAAACCCAGCAGGCCCTTTTGGTAAAGATGAACACATATGAATGGGCATATTCCGGACAAGTCAGTTCCGAATACTGATTTCATCAAACATGTTGCACTTAACAAGCATCTTTTCTTTAGGGGGCCAAGCACTGCTCACGTACTCACTGAAGCCATTCCTGTTTTACAGCAGGGACAAACTAAGCTTCTTCAGACAACCTTCCCAATTAGTGGACAGCCTCCAAATTCGTTTCTACAGTTACAGCTGATTTGCGACTGGCATGACAAAGTGAAACTGTAAACAATCCCTGCAAGGCCCACGTGATTTGAAGGAAAAAAAATTAAACAACGCGAGATCATTTTTAAGGAGGGGGAAGAAAGCCTTTCTAAAACCAGTTTAATTGTGGTGGCGGGTCTGTTCCTCGGCGGCCGTTCCCCCGTGCCTTGTACGGACAGGACACGGTCAGATGTGCAAGCCCCACAAACCTAAGCAAAACCCGTAGTTATAAACATTAAAATGATGAAAACACATCGCGAGGCCAGCAGGCCCTCGGGGGAGGCGGATCAGCTGGTTGCAGAAATCGAGGTGTGTGAACTCCGGGACAAAGACCGGCGACCTCGGGTCCCAGCCCGGTGCGGCCCGATAGGCGCCGCACCAGCCCGCCCCGACAGCCCTTCCCGCCCCAGGGCCGACCTCCCACGCCCTGGGGCGCCACCCGCCCCGTCCCGGTCCCGCAGGGCGCCCGGGGCGGCAGCTGTTGGGCTTAGAACCGCGCCGTCGCCGGCGGGCTCCAAACGGCCGGGCCGGGTCCTGGAGAGCCGGCAGCCGAGCTTCGTCCCCCTCGGCACGGTAGTGGGTGGGAGCCCGCTCGGCCGCTTCCGCCCCTCCGCCCCGGCCACGCACCCTCACGCCACCTACCCGGTCCCACACCATCCCAGAGGCCTCCGGTACTCGGGCCTTCTGCCGAAGCGGCGCTGCCTCCCGTCCGGGGCCTGAAATGGCTGCGGAACAAAGAGAATGTGGGCTCGGGCGAGCGCCGGTCCGATTGGCCGGGGGGCGGAGCCCGGCGCGGGAATCTTCGGCGGCGGTCGCCTTGGCAACGGCGGCGGGGCTGGGGAAACCGCGGCCTGGGCCTGCTGGCCTGCGTCGGGCGGCGCACGACAGCGGTTTCCCGAGCAGGCCCCGAGGTCGCGTCCTCGGCCCCGCGCCCGTCCCCCCACGCCCTCGCTGCCCCGCAGGCCCAGCGTGGGGCTCTGTCGCTGCCCGGCCCGTGAGTGTGATGTCTAGATGCAGGGCCCTTCCAGGAGGTGACGTGCCCCGGCCACACTGTGTCCCCCGCTGTAGCCCCTCGAGTGACAGCCGAGTCCCGGGAGCCGCCGCTTATCCCACAGCTTCCCCGGTATGAGGCAGATGGCTGTAGGCGGCCCGCTGCCCGCTTGGTACCAGACGGGTTTCTGAGCTGTGCTGCTGTGCAAACAAAATGAAACTATTTAGAAAATTAAATTTACTTCTCTAGGTCTGTATCTTAATACAAAACTACTTTATGTGCTTGGAAATAATTAGCGCTCCTAGCTTTATACAGCCACTATGAGAAAAGTACTGTTATTTCAAACTGAAAATGTTTTCAAATGGGAGAGGTAGACATGTTTAAACCCATTTGTGATGATGGTAATGAATAGATAAGAATTGTTCTCCTTCCCAGCGATTACTTTCACACAAATATACTCTATGAATATTGGAAATGTGCATAGCAAGGTGCTCTTTATTTCTTAAGGGGAGTTGCAGGGGAGACATCCTCACACCAGAACTTAGTGGCACATACTTTTTGTTTAGGCACTTAGTGCTCTTCATCACTTTATATATGGTATAGTGCCTAATTCTAGAAAATGCTAAACGTTTACTAAGACGGCTTATTTATTAAGAAACGTAAGAATCTTCTCTTGTAATATCCATTACAATTAGTTTAACTCATATTTGAGTAAAAGATGACGTTTATTATCAGAAAGTTGAACATAGAAGGGGAAAATATTTAAAATAACTAAAATATGACTGGGTGTGATGGCACACACCTTTAATCCCAGCACTCAGGAGGCAGAAGCTGCCTGATTGCTGGGTTCTAGGACAGCCTGGTCTTCAGAGAGAGTTCCAGGTCAGCCAGAACTACACAGAGAAACCTTGTCTCAAAAAATAAAGTAGCCAAAATATACATTTCAGCATTTTATAATGTTAACTTAATGGAAGCTGGATCAAGTAGTATTCTTGGAAAGGGGGTTTCTAAGAGGAAATATGTTCCCCCCAGGAAACAATTTAATGTAAACCTTTTCCCAGAGCTGTTTGGTGAGTCTCCGAGGAAATGCAAGCAGGGCTTGTTTTGTACTTAAAAGATTGCATTGCAGACTAGGGACTTGTATAACTCAGGATTGTGGTAGCCGAGTTTTACATTGCTAGAGCTTAACAAAAGATTGTTGAAATCTAAAAGATTAGGGGCTGGAGAGATGGTTCAGTGGGTAAGAGCCTTGTTTTTGCAGAGGGCCTGCATTTATTTCTGAACCCACATGGTCGATCATAACTTCATAATTCCAGTTTCAGGAATCCAGTGCTTTCTTCTGACCTCCTCAGACACCAGGGACACATACCACACAGACATCCATGTCTGCAAAACACTCATACACATGAATAAATCTAAGTCCAATCAGAAAGGATAGCAATTAATGACGGTTATGAGACCTACCAGGCAGTTAATATAAATTCACCTAAATAATACTTTGGAAATAATTGGAAGGGAGGAGGAATTGAGTATTGAGGCATTTGTTCCCTCAAAAATTTTTAAAAAAATACTTGGTTATCAGATGTTATGAAATTGAGATGAAGTAACCCAAGAATCTATTCTTTCATAACATTGAAATAAAAAGGACACCGTGAAGTGACTGTGGGTAGAAGAGATGTTTATCTAGGTGGCCTTTGTCTCATCTTCTAGCCTAAATTAAAAATATGTGTTTTAAATAATAACTCTTATTTGTCATTGAAGCTTATTAACATGGCTTATTTAATTTTTCTTTCCTGTTATTTCGTTTTTCCTTTGTGCATATAATAATGGCTACTCGGTGGTGTTTTTCTCTTTACATTTCATGTGGCAAAACTCTGCAGAGTTGTTGGCATTTTTCATTGACATATTTTGAAGTTTAAGATGGTAAATAAACATTGCTTTTCTCTTCACAACCTTTATGTTCTTTAATTTCTACATTAAATTTTCCTTAGGCGAAAGAGTTGACAAAGACAAAAATTAAAGAACATTAACAGTTACCCCCATGAGAAAACCAACCCTTGGGAAAGAAAAGTTGCTTACTTTGTCAGATGTAGCAACATCAAAAACCCTGTGATACTCAGGAGGTCACAACCTGCATCCTGATGCTGGCTTTACCAAAACTCCTGCATCCAGATGCCGACTTTTCCGTGACCTGCATCCAGATGCCAGCCTTACCACTCCTGCTTGCGTGTAGTTCTGTCTCTCAGACCTTTACTTTGTCTTAGACAGGACTAAGGAAGATAAAGCACATGAGGAATTCAATAGCAGTAGGCAGGCAGCAATGGGGCAATAGATAAAAGTATTGCTGGACATTAATGAATATAAATGACCATGTTTGCCTGGGTGGAGGGGGTGATTTTGAAAAAAAAAAGGTCTGAAAGTCAAAACTTGCTAAATATCTTTAATAGGCAAATATTACTAATATTTCATTATTTTAGTAACACTTTTATGACTATTAATAAGTTATTTTATTAGTAGTGATTAGTAACTACCAATATTATATAAAAATTCACCAAGAGAACTGAAGTAATGTTTCAGGCAGGCAAGCTTTAAAATAGGGTACTTCTGAGAACCGTTTTTCCAGTTGTCCTTCGGGAAAGATACTGTTATCTTACCCTGTACCCACTCCCCTTCTTAACGCTTCATCATTTAACACCAGACAGTTTAAGGAATTGTCTTCTGCTTTGAAACATCTCCACGTTAACCTTAAGGAAAATATTTTCTAAGCAATAATTTCGGGAATTTAAGAGTTGAAAGGGGGGGTTACAGTAATTCAGGAATATGTAAATAATTTATAGGTATTTCTTACTTAAAGCAAACCCTTATATAAGGCCTTAATTTGTAAAATGATAAATTAGGAGTTATTATTAAATGGGAAAAATTAACTTCAAAGTTCCTTGAGCTATTAATAACTCCTAGTAATTTAAATATAATTCTATTTATAAAAATGCCCTACTCAGACTCTCGTTTCTGGGAAGATGAAGTAGACAGTGTTCACTGTTCTTCTCAGTACAGCTAAAAGTCCCAGGCATTACATAGAAAGCAAACAGAAGAGGCTCTGATAGAAAACAGACTAAGCAAGGACCTTGGGATTCGAGGAAGGACATAATGATGAATTTAGGTTTTTCTTCGGCCTTACATATCCCACACTTGAAACTGAAGACTCAACTAGCTGGAAATACCAATGGCCCAGACAAAACACAAACAATAAAAAAGGTCCATCAAAACACTGCTCTCTCCAGCTGAAGGGGCAGCATAGGATACAGAAAACTTTTGGAAAAGAACCGGTTAAATCAGCAAAAATCAAAGAAAATTATGACACATTCTGTGGTAGTTTGAATTTAATTGGCCCCCATCATCTCATAGGGAGTGGCATTATTAGATGTGGCTTCATTCAAGTGGGTGTGGCCTTGTTGAAGGAAGCGTGCCACTGGAGGCGGGCTTTAAGGTTTCCTGTGCTTAGGATACTGCCCAGTGTCTCAGTCAACTTCCTGTTGTCTGCAAGATAGGACTCTCAGCTATTACTCCATCACCACATCTGCCTGCATGTCGTCATGTTCCCTTTCATGATGATAATGGACTGAACCTCTGAACCTGTGAGTGAGCCTCCTCAATTAAATGTTTTCCTTTATAAGAGTTGCCATGGTTATGGTGTCTCTTCACAGCAACAGAAATCCTAACTAACCCTCCTTCCACCCCTTTGCCATATCAACAAAGACCTAACAGCCTAATTTCTACTCTTGGGTAGAGTAAGGGGCCTAGTTTGTTCTTCCCTAGGATAATGTCTACAATTTTGTTACCTCTGGGGCCTTCTCTCTTCATTGTCAAAGAAAGACACTTGAGGAACTTGGGCTTCTCTACTAAATTGGCCGTAGTGGGCAATATCTGTCTGCTACCCCATTCATCTTGCCAGCACTTTCAGAAAAAGTCAGGTAAAAGGAAGAACATTAAATATCCTAAATTTTTTTTTTTTTTTTTTTTTTTTTGGTTTTTCGAGACAGGGTTTCTCTCTGTGGTTTTGGAGCCTGTCCTGGAACTAGCTCTTGTAGACCAGGCTGGTCTCGAACTCACAGAGATCTGCCTGCCTCTGCCTCCTGAGTGCTGGGATTAAAGGCGTGCGCCACCAAAAATATCCTAAATCTTGCTGGGCAGTGGGAGCACATGCCTTTAATCCCAGCACTCCAGAGGCAGAGGCAGGTGGATCTCTGTGAGTTCGAGGCCAGCCTGGTCTACAAGAGTTAGTTCTAGGACAGCTAGGGCTATTACACAGAGAAACACTGTCTTGAAAAACAAACAAAACATAACAAACAAAAATTCTAAACCTTGTAGTGTAATACCCCCCAATACCATAGGTATAGCAGAAAAAGATTCATCAAGGACTCAAGCTGTATGGGGCAGAAGGAGATTGTAGGCCAAAACGACAGGGGTGGCACAGGTGACAAATTTAGCAACAGAATAGAGGGGACGGGGGTGGGGTAGGGGAGAAAGAATAAAATCAAAGACCTTGGTAAAGAAATTATCCAGACTAACAAAGCAAGAACAGCCTGACAACAGCTGAGCAATATCATGGAACTGAGTAACTGTAATACATGGTCCATTCATGGACCCAGGGAGGAATGAGGGATAAGAAAAAAATTCTTAGAAATAATAGCAGAAAGCATCTGGCATCTGTTGAAAAATATGAACCTATAACTCAAGAAGTTGAGTACATTTGAACATAGTTAAAT